AATGCTACTGCATGTGTGTAGATAAATCTTTGAGAGTTTGTTTTCTTTTTTTCTTTCTTTCTTTTTTTTTTAAGACAGGGTCTCATCATGCAGTCAAGGCTGACCTGGAACTCACTACGTAGACTAGGTAGATCTCAAACTCAGGGATCAGCCTGCCTCTGCCTCCTGAATTCCGGGACCAAAGGCATGTGCCACCATGCCTGTTCTTATTATCCCTGTCCTGTTTTGAGGCAGCTTCTCTTATTTATGCTGCTGTGCTCCTACAGAATGGTTTGTCTCTGTCTCCTCTCTATCCATGAGTGCTGTCATTACAAATGTACGCTACTGCAGATGGGCTAAAAACAAACAGTCAAACCATGGAGCCAGTGGTGGTGGTGCACACCTTTAATCCAAGCACTTGGGAGGCAGAGGCAGATGGAGCTCTGAGTTCCATGCCAGCCTGGTCTACAGAGTAAATTCCAGGACAGCCAGGGCTACACAAAGAAGCCCTGTCTTGAAAATCCAAAAACTAACCCAAACCAAACAAAAACAAAAAGCCATGAATTCTGGAGGTCAAACTCAAGTCTTCAGGTTTGTTCAGAAAGCACCTTTACCCACTGAGCCATTTCCTAGGACCTTTCTGATATTCAGCAATCTAGCTGGAGGATAATTGGCTGTTATCAATTCCTTCAAAGAATCAGCTTTATATTATACTATTTCCCCCTCATTGTTCATTTGCTTTTCTTTTTTTTTAACATTTTTAAAAAGATTTATTTATCTTATTTTATGTATGTGAATACTTTGCTTGCTTTTGTGTGTATCTCCACATATATTCCTGATGCCTGAAAGGTAATAAGAAGTCATCAGAGTCCCTGAAACTGGAGTTACAGACAGTTGTGACCACCATGTGGATGCTGGGACTTGAACCCAGGTCCTCTGGAGGAGCAGCTAGTCCTCTTAACTTCTGAGCCATCTCTCCAGCCCCTATTGTTCATTTCCTACTTCAGTTAATTCTATGCTTTTGGGAAGGGGTGGGGAGAGCTTATTTTTTACTTTTTTTTTTTTTTTTGACATGGTCTCACACTGCAGTTCTGGTTCATTTAGCACTCACTATCTCAGACTGGCCTCCATGCAGAGAGCCTTTTGCCTCAGCCTTCTGAGTACTGGGATTACAGATGTGTCCACTAGACACAGCCTCCACTCTTAATTGGTAATTCTTCCTTTCTCTTTGTTTCTTTTTTTTTTAAAAAATCCCTAAAATGATATGTTGACTATTGATTTAATATTATCCTTATTTTAAAATACAAAAGCTAGAAATTCTGAAAATTATACTAAGCCCTGCTTTAGCTACATCTTGTAAATTTTATTGCCTTAATTTTAACAGTATTATGTATATTGATGATTATTCAATGATAATGACCTTATTCCAGTCATGTTCGTACTCAGTAGTCAGTCCCATTGTCCATTTAATTGATATATGTAAGATAACCTCTTCATGTTTCTTTTTACCCCCTTCTTTCCTTTTTAACCATGCCTAGTCCCCCAGATTTAAATATTATGGTCAATTAATCACCAATCAATTAATATTTTTGACACTTGATTTGTAGTTGAGGATGGCCTTGAATTTGGGACCCTCCTGCTTCCACTTCCTGCTTATTGGCAGACAGCACATGCTGGGGATCGAACCCAGGGCTTCATGCTTGCTAGGCAAATAAATCTAGCAAGTAAGCTAACCCTCCAACTCTCTTCTCTGTTTCCAGCCCTTTATTCTGCCTTAATTCTTTTCATAGTACCTGTGGTTATATCATTAGAACATATAATATATAATGATTAAGCCATTATTTACTTTTATCTTTTTATTATTTGTCCCCTCTGCTGAGATACTTGATAACAGGCATTATGTGTTTTATTGCTGATACATCCCATCACTTTAGAAGAGCCCCATAGACATTTGTCGGATAAAAGAATAAGAATATATTTAAGCTCAATGCAAACTTGAGAAAAGCTGTGAAGCAGCACCACGTGCAAGAGGGCAACGCTGACAAATGCCAAATGAGATGTGGAATTAGCCGTGAACAGGGCTCACCTGCTAGCCCAGAGCCCTCCCCAGGACTCGTGTCTGTGATCCGGGGCATGGAGCACATCTGCGCCAGGCTTTCTGGATGAGAAAGCCTTTCCCATGTATCATCACACTGAGTAGCACATCACTACAAGGAAGGCTTTTTTATCCACATTTTCCAGACAAAGAAGCTGGAATTCAGAAAGTTAAAAAACTATGCAGCCAAGAACTGGGAAACCTGAGGCTGGGTCCAAGGTTTCTGATGCCTGGAATCTCCTCATACCATCATGAGAAGAACCATGTGTGTGTCTTCCGAGCAGGCTGGGTTCCAAGTTCTCATGGATGGACAGAGGGGTGGGAGGTTAGTACCTGGAGGAGCTCAACAGCTGTGGGAGAGCAACAGGCTCAAGGAAGCACTGGGTTTGGGCTTCACTCTTCTCTCATCCATCCCTATAGACTCGTAGAGAAAAAGGAGTTCTTGAATTTTAAAACCCACTTCCCACTGATATTAGTCAAGACCTTTGGGTAAAGGCCCAAGTCTGGCCTTGTTATTCATGTCTTTACAGTGGGGCTTTAATGCCTCCTCCTCAGCTGTTGTGAGAATGACGTGAGACTCAGGGAAGTGCGTTGGCAGGGCCCCTGCCTTAGTCTTCACTGCTTCCTTCCTGAAATGCACCGTGCCAAGGCTATTCTGCCTGCTGCTTCACCAGTCACTGATAACACACAACAGGACGGTGAAGCGGGGCAGAGCGTGGGAACCTGCCAATAGCCCTTGTTCTCTTATAAGAAATGGTCCTCAGCGCTGGAGAGATAGCTCAACAGCTAAGTGTACTTTTGACTCTTGCAGCCACTAAACATATGGTATACAGACACATACACCAGGCAAAGCACACATACACATAAAAAAGTAAAGAGCTGGCCCTGGCCCTGCGGGGACGATCTAGTGGGGGTAGGGAGTCAGCTCATGCAAAGACACAGCACACATAGAGCACCTGATAGGAAGAACAACCCAACTGTCATTTATTGACTACTACTGACTGTTTACTCCGAAGGCATCAATTGCCTTTGATTACTGTGGTACAGCACTTGACATGGACAAAGGAGGAAGTGTTTCCTTTGGCTCATAGTTGCAGAGTGTTCATTTCATAGTCCTTGGCTCTGTTGATTCTAAGTCTGTGATGAGGCAGAGCACCCTGGCTGTGGGAGTGTGTGGGGGAGGAGGAGGTTGTTCACTTCATGGTGGGCAGGTCGCAGAGAGTGTGGGAAAGACAGGAGACTCCAGAAACCTACTTCCTCCAAGCAGGTCTCATCTCCTAAAGTCCCAATAGTGCCACCATCTGGGAACCAACCATTCAACACATGAGCCTGTTGGGGACATGTGTTTTATCTTAATCACAGCACATGAATATAACAGAGCTGAACCCAAAGTCCTTGAGTAGACCTTACAAATTCCCCCTAGACTGAGTTTGCCTTCCCCTGATTGTTGGGCAACTGGAGTCTGCTCCTTGTACTCAGTCTCTGGCTGTAATTTTGCTTCAACTCATATTCTCTGGGCCTTCTCCTTTAACACAGCATCATCATCATCATCATCATCATCATCATCATCAGCATCAGCAGCAGCAGCAGCAGCAGCAGCAGCAGCAGCAGCTCGTATTGGACGTAGCAGGATCTGACTCCAGCTACTTCATCCTACATATCTGTCCTCTGCAGTCTTTCCGGAATTGTCCTCAGCACTGATCTGCCTCTGCACCTCAGTCTATGCTAGTCCCTTTCTTGGGACACCTTTCCACAGAGTTCCCACTGCATTAGATCACAGCTGAATGGCTAGTCCAAGACCACTTTCCCTGCCAACTGTGACCTATTTTCCTTAGAAGGACCATGGGGCTGTAGTCCTGTAAACTTCATTGCACACAAGGTAGGAATGTCACATTTATAAAGTAAAAATACAAGACACCCAACTAGGTTTGAATTTCAGACATATAAGGTATTGATTTTAGAACATCTGCATAATACTTAGGATACACTTATACTCAAACCTATATATTTGTTATTTATTATTATTATTATTTTGTTTTTTCAAGACAGAGTTTCTCTGTGTAGCCCCAACTGTCCTGCAACTCACTCTTCAAACCAGGCTGCCCTCCAACTCAGAGATCTACCTGTCTCTGCCCCCCAAGTATCTGGATTAAAGGCCTGTACCACCACTGCACATCTCAAACCTGTATATTTATCTGAAATTCATAATTGGATGCCTGTATTTAGGTGGCTACTTTGGTTCATGGGTTTGTAAGTCTATAGTAGCTCATTTTTCGTTTGGGAAGGGTGATGGGTTTGTGACGTAGACTGGAATAGGGTTCAGACTGTGAGTGAAGGTGGCCCAGGGCCCACTTCATCTAGAGCCCTTGTTTCACAAGCCAGAGATTCAGAGGACTCACCCCAGTTCACACTGTGGGTGGGTGGCAGAGGCGGCTTTTACTCAAAGTCTGACTCTCACTTCCAGCGCAGCTCCCTCCTGTGCCGCGGCCCTGTTTCTGGGCTGACTGAGAGCTCAGGTTCCCATTCCCCTGCCCCTGACCTGCCCTTGGCTGGCTTCAGAGGGGGGTCTGATGACGAAATGTGATCCTGTCATAAAATCTATACCAAACCAACTCTTCTCACAGCCCACCCGTCTGCCTCAAAGGGGGCCACCTAATCCTCATTTATGGAGACTAGCAGCTGGGCCGAGCCTGAGTCTTTGAACGTGAGCTTGGGGTGCTCCGGTTCAGTCAGTCCTGGCCAAAGGAACCTGAGAGTGAGGGCATTAGCTGAACAAGTTGAGGGGCCAGGTGGTCGTGGGTCACCAGTCCAAAGAGCACCAGGCAGAGCTAGAGCAGTCAGAGCTGCTGGAGATGGAGGCCAACCCCATCAGGTACCTCTCCAAGAATGTGGTAGCTGAAGCTTCTTCCGTCAGTGGAGGAAGAGACTGCAGAGCTTCCTGGAGAGAGCAAGGAGAGATGACTTTCTGGGGATGACTTTAGAGCCTTTAGAAGCCTCTGGGCAGAAGTAAAGGCCCAATGAGAATGTCAAGAAAAGGTGTCTGGATGCTGAGATTGGGTCAGGAATAAGCCAGTGCTCTGGTTTAGGTGATATACAGGTCAGAGGTACCCATACAGAAATGGGGACACCAGGAAAGGAGCAGAAAGAAGCTAGGCTCCTTTGGGCCATGTCACCTCAGAGGACTCTTGGAAGGCTTACAGAGATGTAACTGGGTAGGGAGACAGGATGGAGATTCTAAGGTTGTATCTTCATTGGGACCTGACTCCCCTGTTACTGGGGACCAGGAAAGAGGGCCCAGAACTGAGAAGTACTCACCTTCAGAGGAGGTTGGGGACAGAAGGGCCTTCAGGACAGAAGGAGAAGGTGGCCAACAGAGGCAGAACAGCAGGGCAACTGTGGAAGTGGGAACCAAGGAAGCAATCAGGTGTTGAGGCTGAGGCCTCAGGCCCAGGAGGAAGGTCGCTAAGGTGTGCAGGTGGCCTGGTTCAGTGAATGAGAGGGAAGAAAGTGGGGGGTGCCCAGTGTAGACACCAGCCTAAGGAAGATTGTTGATGAAGACATTGGAGGGCACAGCAGCTGCCGAAAGGCGAGGCTTCCGGCACAGTGACTTGTGAGATCCTCCAAGTCTCGGCTGAAGGCCAGGAGGTGGGAAAGAGGGGGAGAGCACAGCTTCTGCACTCTTGACCTCAACTCTGTCACCCTGACATTTCCTCTCAGTCCTGGGTCACCAGCACTCCCCGACACACACCCAAAACAACATGTCACCCTGCACACTCGTCTTTACTGTGTGTGACAATTTGATCTTGTTTCTTTAGTTTTCGTTTTAACTGTTGGTTCACAACAGTCAGCTTGAGAGACCCGGAGAAGCTGGAGAGAGGAAGGAAAAGGGCGGGCTCTTCAGGGGACAGTCAGGTGGAAGGACTGGCTTCCTATAGGGAGAGGGGTCACATTAACCATTTGAATGGGGGAATGGAGGCTGAGGTTTGGGGTTCTGGGCATGACATACTGGTTGGGATTATCTGGCCTTGATGCAAGCTAAGCTTGGGACCCATTCAGCTGACCTACCTCTCCACCCCTCCTATGCAAGTAAGAGAGTGGGAACTACATGTTTTTGAAGCATGTGGGAATACAAGCTATATACACAGATCCGCAGGAACAATTATAGGTGCTTGTGTAGAGGCAAATGCACATATCTTTATTCCTGCTATTACGGCTGCATACACGGGTAATACATGCATGCTCTTTCACACACGAATGCTGATTTAGACAACAGGCACACTTCTAAATAGACAAACACATTTTAAACATGCATACATGTGGGCATACATCTTAGGGAACATTCAAAGACACATGCTTACAGACTTATCAGGCAGGGAGCTCCAGGATGAGGCTCATCCATTGCATTCCAGATGTGCTGACCACCGTGCACACCCCAGATGTGCACACGCGACAGAGACTCAGATTCATAACTCATTGAGGGCTTTGTTCCTATTTTCCCCCATCAAACAAAAGAAAAGGCTCGTGGACAAGCAAGTGCACACACACACACACCAAGCCCCAGTTTGTAGATGTGCTCCTTGAGGGTTACACAGCTCGCAAGTGCTTGTACCCTCCCTCCCTCAGCCCCACCTTTGCCTCAGTATCTTTGTCATCCCTCACTACTCTCTTTCTCGGGCTCTATTCAAGTCCTGAAACACATTTTAAACTGCCTTTGCCCTCTCATCTTTCAGCCACAGCTATGGCTCCTTTCTCCAGGGCCAAGTCTGAGGCACCCAATCAGCATCCCCCCACTTCCCTTCCATGACAGTCTGCCTCCTGTTTTCTTTGCTTGCAGGTTCCCCCTGCTACCAGCTGTTTCTTTCATGGCTCTATGCAAAAGGGCCTTAATAAATAAATACAGGCTGACGAAAGAGTAACTACTGAGTAGAGTAGTGCTGAGTCCCAGGAGCTGGAGGCGGTGGGAAGTGCCATTATCTTTCCATTATTGTCTTTATTTTCCTTAGATTTATTTATTTTAAAAATTATTTTATGTTTAAGGTTGTTTTGCTTGCATGCATGTCTGTGCACCATATGCATGTCTGACTCCCGGGGAGACCAGAAGAGGGCATCAGATCCCCTGGTAGTAGAGTTACAGACAGTTGTGGGCTGCCCGTGGGTGATGGAAATTGAACCCTGGGTCCCTTGGAAGAGGAACCAATGCTCTTAACTCCTTATCTTCCAACCCCCTACTTTTAGTTTTAATTGTGTGTATGTGTGTGTGTGAATATCTCTGTGTATGGGTGCCCACAGAAGCCAGAAGAGGGTGTTAGACCCTCTGGAGCTGTAGTTACAGGTATGGGTGGGTGCTAAGAACCAAACTAGAGTCTGGAAGGAGCCGCAAATCCGCAAATGCTGAGCCATCTCTCCAGCCCTCAAAGCCTCTGCATTTTCTAGCGGAACAACACAGGCATCCTGTGTGTTAGAGGTGGGTTTGAACTTTATTGCCAGCTGTTGGCTTTTCCTCTGGCCCTGAAGTCTGGTCCTAATGCAAGGGATCCATCTTCAAAGAACCCTTTGCTCCGTTCTCCAGGCAATCTCATAGCTGGCAAGGGCCTAATACTCTGCGTGACAAAAAAAGAGTTACAGGAAACAAACAAGCTGACCAGGTGTGTAGGATTGCAGATGTCTGTCGGGTTCTGTAAGAAACCCTGACACAGAACAGAGAATGCCCTCTCCGAGCTGGGTGCCAGAGGGTCTCCAGCGCTCTCACCTGTCGGGCCTCCGCTTCCTGGGCCCGGGGCCGGGTGGGCTCGCACCGCCGCTGGGTGGCCTGGCCCGGGCCCGACAGCGCGCGCGCTCCGGGGGCCCTCCGGGGACCCTCTAAGGAGCAGCGCAGAGGTGGCGACCTGACGGGGCCGGGTGGGACGGCGAAATGGCTTTTCCAGCTCTGGAGTCCCGGCCGCGCTGTTGACACAGTCGCCGATTTTAATGAGAAATCTGGAGCGTGCGTGGGAGACGCGGCGCGGGGTGCACAGATGCGGCGCTGGCTGCGCGGCCCGAGGGAAAGCGCTGGGGCGCGCTCACCTTTGAACTGTCGGGGACGCTGTTTACCTTGGCTGTCCGAGTGGCAGTTTTACAGATATTAAATACCGACCCGAAGGGAAACAGGGCTCGGGGGCCGCCTTCGCCAAGGGATTCCGCGCCCTCCTTGCAGCTGGCGGTCGGATTCGGTGCTGGGGAGACGCCCGGCGCTCGCATCTCATCCTGTCCCAGTCGGACTGTCTCCTAATTCGATTTTCCGTGTCGGAAGGAGGAGGCCGAGGGCGGTCTGGGCCTTGCTCACACGCCTCTTGCCTCTTGGCATGTCTGTATCTGGTGATTGCAGATCTCCAGTCCAGGCACCTCCTAGGCGGCACTCCGGGTTGCCTGACTCTCCTTGTCTAGGGGAAAAAGGAGAGATCTCTCTCTCCTCCCCCAAGACTCTTGCGGGACGGAGGAGGGTTCTGCCCGTGCCCCAGGCTTCAGCCGGCAGTCAGAAGGCTTCCCGCAGAGGCACAAGCCATGTTGATTTTACGGAGAAGGCTGCTATGCACATTTCACTGCTGATTTATTGGTTTTTAACTAGATCCTTATGCTGGGCTAAAAAAGCCATCTTGCACTTTGTAAGGCTCTGCTGACTGCTGCTGAAAATGACATAGGGGCTCCTCCTCCCCTCCCCCACCACACCCCACCCGCCGAAGAGGCGACTGTGGAAGTGTAAGCCTGGACTGTGAATCTAGGGCCTTCTTCTGAGCAAGGAACCTCCCGCTGCAGCTTCCCAGCCACTGACTACCTGCGGTGTGTACCGGGGTGAGTGTGTTGGTGTGTGGAAGACTTCGTGGGTCTGAAGGGAGGGTCTGGGAGAGGCTGGTACATACTGTTCACCTTTTTTCTCTCGGACACCATTTTAATCAACTTGGTGGGGGTGGGGTCAGCAAATGTAGAGAAACACCCTGGTTCCTATCTTGACTGTGTGATTTGGGAGAGCTGCAAAAAAAAAAAAAAAAAAAAACTCTCTGATCTCTCTCTGATTTGTCCTCTCTTACCTGTGATGTGGGGATCAAACAGAATCTTGTTTTAAGTTCTTCTAGCCCAGGGCCCAGCACACAGATGGGGTGGTGGGTTAGAGTCCCTTTAGAGTCTTCCCAACCCTGGCGGATAACTCCTGACAAAGGTAGACTCCTTAGCAGAGGTTGGACCCCGTATAGTGTTTCATAATTCAAATGGAAGATCAGATAATATAAACCACACATTTATAGATTATAAAGCACCTTCAATCTTCTATTAGTTTATCACATCCTCAGGTAAGTTCTCTGAGGGAAGAGACAAGCTAAGTCATTAACGGAGCACAGGGGCTTTCTCAGACCTGTGACTTGGAGCTATGATGGACAGCTTACGTCTTGACATCCTGGCTGCCTCTGCTATTATTTAGCAACACTCCCCTTTCCCAAAACAGCTTCATGTGAAGATTGTCAGTGCTCACAGGGTGCAAAATAATGATGGGGAGACCCACAGAGACAGCCACCTTAAAGAAAGGTCCCTTTGGCTAGCCCTGGAAAAGCCGCCAGAGAATAGGGTGGGCACAGTGAAGACAGGTCTGATTGAGACCCCCACAACTCAGGGAGCTGAAGGAGGATGCTTGCGCATCTGTAGAATCCATCAGCGGCTTGATGGGTCGCTGTTAAACAAAGATGGGATAAGGTTACACGTGTTTTCCGTGGGAGTCGGCTCCAATTTCAGCCTGATGATTTAGTCAGGTGTAAGCATGAAGTTTCCAATTTAGAGGAATAAATCTCTAGTGATTTTATTATCCCCTGTTTTACCCTGACACCCAACTTCACCCCAGCCCCCTGTCAAAGCCCTCATGATGTGTTTATATAGGGAGCACTGTAATTGATTGGCGTGCAATAGAACATGACACAGAAAATGTGGCCTTCCCCACCAGGCTAACTCTGGAAGCTTCCATATTTCATCATCCTCCAGGCCCAATCAGTGGCCCCTACTCTCTGTGGTCACAAATTCCTGGGATTCTGGGTTGTCTGTGAATAGGAGTGTGGGGCCAAGAGGTTCAGCTGGGACCCCCCAGGTGGTCCCAGAGGGTGTTTTGGCCTGGGGCTGTGGGATGGAGAACACCAGAAAGGCCTCTGTCCTGGGCTGTTGGGTTGAGTGGATTCAGAACTCAGAGATTCTGCCTGATGTGAGAGTAGCCAGATTCAATTTTGCATGGCTCTAAGATATAATAATTCCAATATCATAAGCTTCTTAAAAGGTCAGTTTTGAGCAATGTGCTATTGCAATCATCTATGAATCCATGGTATTAGAGCAATAACAGCATGCAATAGAATGGTATACTGTAGTAATACCACTAACAAATAGGGATGCAGACATAGAAGAGGATCTTTGTATTAACAGCAATGTTAACGCCAATACCAGTTTCGCTATTATCACTTAATAAGGCTTTCAGCATGCCCAGTATACTAGGTGGGCTGTGTGTTCTTTTACTTAACTTTTCCAACAGTGTTATGAAGATATTGCTGTGTTCTTTTGTACGTGGTATCAATAAAGGTCAATGAATTTAAGTTGGGTTGTTTAAGATTCTGAAATCTTGGGCTGGAGAGATGATGGCTCAGAGGTTAAGAGCACTGGCTGCTCTACCAGAGGTCCTGAGTTCAATTCCCAGCAACCACATGGTGGCTCACAACCATTTGCAATGAGATCTGGTGCCCTCTTCTGGCATGTATATGCCAGCAGAACGTTGTGTGCGTAATAAATAAATCTTAAAAAGAATTCTGAAATCCTAGCTTTACTACATTTTAAACAGCAAGCCGAGGTGAAGAAAGCAGACAGATGTGGGGTGAGATGCAGTCTCAGCCCCTTGAGTTGTCAGGAGCATACTTAGTAAATGCTCACAGGGTAGTCCTTGGCCACTGACCCTGTTCTCAGCCCCAGGAGAGGTATGGAGATAAAGAGTGTCCAAGTCCTCGGGTGGAGAACGAGAGCTTTGATATTCCACACTTTGATGGCAGAAAGTTTCCTCAGAGTCCTCTAGAGCCCTACAGTTTCTTAGTCCAAAAGGGGGGAATTACTGTAGCTCAGTCTTTCAAACAAATCTGGATTCTTCCTGCTCCCTGCCTCCCTCATGGGTGGGGCATATCCTGTGCTGGCAATTCCCTCTCTTTTTTTTTTATATATAGAAGAAACCTTTCATTTAGATTTATTTGTTTATTTATTTATTTTTATTTCTTTTTTTTAAAGATTTATTTATTTATTATGTATACAGCATTCTGTCTGCATGTATGCCTGCACACCAGAAGAGGGCACCAGATTTCATCATAGATGGTTGTAAGCCACCATGTGGTTGCTGGGAATTGAACTCAGGACCTCTGGAAGAGCAGCCAGTGCTCTTAACCTCTGAGCCATCTCTCCAGCCCCTATTTATTTTTATTATGTATACAGTGTTCTGTCTGTATGAATGCCTGCAGGCCAGAAGAGGGCATCCGATCTCCTTACGGATGGTTGTGAGCCACCATGTGGTTGCTGGGAATTGAACTCAGGACCTCTGGAAGAACAGCCAGTGCTCTTAACCTCTGAGCCATCTCTCCAGCCCATGATTCCCTCTTATAATGAGCTGAAGAATACTTTGCTGTAGCTTTGACTTAGGGCTCTCAGCTCTGTCCTGTAGGGCTACAGAACACATCTGCTTCCTTTGCTCCATGACTCTGAGAGTTCAAGACGCAGTAAATCGAATCCGTTTACTCACTAACCACTCATTCATCAACACTCTTTCCACCCTCTCTCCTTTCATCTACTTGTCCATCCATCCATCCATCCATCCATCCATTTATCATCCATCTGCCCGCCCATCCATCCATCCATCCATCCATCCACCCAACCATCCACCAAACATCCACCCATTATTTATCTTCAATCCATCAAATAGTTCATCCATCCACCAAACAGCCACTCATCCATTTATATATTTATTAATTCATTGGGTGACAACTCAGAAATGATACTGGTTAGGACCTCTGGGGTGGGACATAAAGATAAGCTTTTAGTAAACTTGGAGAGATCAATAAGCAAGATTCATACCTACAGATTTTACTTATTTCAAAATGCCTATCATGTTGGGACTTCCTCAACAACTTGTCCATTCATGCCCAGTGAGGATTCCAGTTTCTTCGTGCAATCAGGATGGAGAGGAAACGAGTCATTGTGGGTGGACTCAGGACCTCTTCTTGTGTTCTTCACCTTACAGACTGGGGACTCAGATACAATCTTTGCTTGGACCAGCACTGAAGTTCTGTCCCAGGCTGTCTCAATCCCATCCCCTCACTCCTTTGTTCAACACAAGCATTGCCATATGTCAGATTACTTGAATATGGAGATGAGCAACATCCAGGTCCTTATGCTTGAAGAGTTGATCATGGAGCATGGAAAACTAATGTAAACAAACAGTGATTAGGAAAATTTTGGATTATGAAAAAAGAAGTCCACAGAGCAGGAAGGAAGACACTGTTTTAGACAGGACAGTCAGGAGTCTCTGGCAGTTTTTACTGGAGATGGAAAAGATGGACTAGGGTCAGAGGTGGCAGGAGGCTTGGGCACTTGGCTGTAAAAAGAGAAACAGTAAACCAGGAGGTAAGAATTTACAGTGCCCTTGGAAAAACTGCCAAGGAAAGCAACCCTTGGTGTTCTCCACAGGGCATTTCTGGGTTTACCTCACTTGTCTGGCTGGACACCACTCTCATTCCTGTTGAGGAGTGGAGGCAAGTGATTTGCCTGGATCCCAGAAATCAGGGCATATCATGTCCAGTGGGCAATGCAGCTCCTGGCGCTCACCTGTCCTCCAGAGTCCCGTGTCTCTGCTGGTCTGTATGGTGAGCCTTTCTACTCCACCTGTTCCCTTCAGGAGGGAAGGCATTGTGGGGCTTCTTCCCTTGAGGACAGGGCATCGAGCTTGTAGTAGCTGAGCTGATCTGGAGGCTGGGCATTCAGATACTTGTTCTCCACCCTGGCTCTGGCTTGCTGTGGGACCCTGGGAAATATCTATCACTCTGAAGAGCTCAGTTTCCCTCACTTTAGAGGGTTAAGCTAGGTGCCCCTGCAAACCTTT